CCCGCCCGCCCGCCTGCAAAGAGCGCCGCAGAGTTTACGTCATGTTTCTCCACGGTGCTTCATTATTCATAAAGTGCAGTGCGGGCCGACACCCTTTTTGCATCTGTGAACGTAGTACCGGCCGTTTACAGCAAGGGACACCACAAACTTTGAAAGCCTAATCTTGGTTTGAAAGCCGAGTTTGAAAACCTAACGCTGGCCTAGAAACATTAACATTTGTTTAAAAATTCGACCCTATGAAACCATACTTTGGAATCCGACATACAGCTCAGAACTCCAGATAGAAACGCTGACGTGAATCCAGAGCCCTGGCGCGAAACCCTATTTTGAGACCATGATATTGTTTTGAAACAGAACTTTTTACCCCAAACTGTCATTGAACGCCCCATTTTCAACCTTAACCCTTGCTTAAAAAAATATAGACAAACAGACCCCTTATCGGGATGGGGTGGACCTTGGTGGAGGTCCACGCCGTCTTGTCAAAGTGCACAAATGCATCACGTTTTGGTGAGAATGCGTCCTGGTGTAACATCTCTGGCCTTCTCACTGCACTGAACCTTTTTGGCATGTAAGAGGAATCTGCGGACCCCCCTGTCAAACCATCCCACCCTAAAAATTCACACCGCAGGGTCCCAGATGGGACAGGTCGCATTTGGTGTGCCAGTGATGAGCCAGTGCTGGCTGGAGGAGGGTGAAATGTGGCAGGCTGCCAGCTGCTGAGAGTTGCATGAAAGCTTGGCCGTGTGCATGCGTGTGTGTGTGTGTGTGTGTATGTGTGTGTGAGAAGGGTGGGTGTGGGCGATTCCCAGCTGCCTCCACCACATGCACAATTTGATACGGCAAACCAAAGGTGATTAAAAAAAATAGAAATTTTATGTGTCAAAAGTGTCAGTGGTATCAATTGCTTGGTATCGATGAGTCCTCAAGGCTTGAGGACTCGCACTAGTATCGGTTTGAAAAAATATGAATTTGAACGTGTTTTCCACTCGAGAGCACCTGGCCTTGCTCAAGCCTATCAAATGTCGCCGCATTTTGTAAAGCTTGTTGTCTCTCATCCAGTCATAGCAACGTCTCATCTGCATTATTTTTGCTTTGATTGATTATGCGACAATGCTTGTTTTGTGTGTGTGCGGGTGTGTGTGAGAGTGTGTGCGGGGGAGAGGGGAGCATTGATCAGTTAATCCTGTTTGACCGTCAATCTTGATGACTCTATCACTGGGAGTGGCCCTTGTCCCTCGTAATCCCATCTGGGAAGACACACAGCAAGTAGTTTGGGCCATTCAATTTGGCATATCGTCACCTTTCGGGAAAAAAATGGCCTGAGTCTTTTTTTTTTTTTTTTTCAGGAAAACTCAAAAACGGAACCAAATACTGATTAGGTAAGATAGTATCATATAGAATTCAGTCAAGGCAGACGTGTACTTGTGTTGTCGTAGTTGGTTGACTTTTGATGTAGCGGCACTTAGCCAGTTCTGAGCCTCTTCGGATAAGTCAAGTCAATGGGTGGCCAAGTCAAGTCAAGTCAAATTTATTGTCAAATATGCCCTATGTGCAACATACAGCACAGATGAAATTTCTTTCCTCTCAACCACAGTGCAGCCACAGGAGAGAGAGGAGCCGCTGCGGGTACCCGCCCCGCCATCAACAGTGAATCGCAATGATCCAACTCTTACACTTGTCTAAATTGTTCATTTCTGAAAAAAAAAGAAAGACTGTTGATGTTGCACTTCCCTGACAGAAGACAAAAATGTGAGCACTTTCCTAAAAGGAAGACACCCTGACAGTGCTGCACTTCAGAAAAAGAGATCTCGCCTGTTTTTTTTTAAAAAAAGAAGAGAAACACACTTTTTAAAAGTTGAAAACACACACGATCGATGTTTCACTTCAAAAGAAGACAAATGATTGATGTCGGACTTTCCTAAACAGAAGACAACAGAACTTGATACTGATACCTTATCACCGAGCCGTACCAGCGGCTAATGTTTGGGTGTTTGTATGTTGTTGTTGTTGTTTTAAAAGTTTTTGGCATCCCTGTCATGACTTTCTAATGGGGTGGTTGTTGTGGTTTTGTCCATGTTGGAAGCTTCCAGGCCAACTGAGGTGTCTTTGTTGTGCTCAATTGTCCCTTTGTGGCCGCTCCCTGGGAGCTGAATAGCTCACTGGCTCGCTCTCTGTGACGCTGACAGTTGCAGCCTTGTTTTCTTTTCTTGTCATCGCGTCGCTACGCCGCACGCTCGCCGTAACGATGTCAGATGGCAATCTTGCGCTATTTTGGTTTTATCTGCGAGGGTCACACTTTCACCCTGGCACGTGGCCGCCTCCTGTCTACATGCGACTCCATTAGGACACAGCGCAGTCGACAGTGTTCCTGAGACACCTGCACTGGGGCGGAAATCAGTTGCATAGAAAGACCACATTAAAAAAAAAAAAAAAAAAAAAAAAACACTTTAATTTTCACAAAAAAAAAAAA